GGAGTGGGTTGCACGTACTAGAAATAAAGCTGAAAGTCACACGACAGAATACACCGCGTCTGTGAAAGGCAGATTCACCATCCCAAGAGATGGTTCAAATAACGCGCTGTATCTGCAGATGAACAACCTGAAAACCGAGGGGAGGCCAGTGTGAGCCCAGACACAAACCTCCTGCAGGGACGGGCGGGGCCACCAGGGGGCGCTCAGGCACCTCTGATGATGTGACGGGTCCAGGCACAAGGGCAGGGGGACGTTCTCTTTTTTATATACATGTTCCTTAGGTTCTAGGGCACATGTGCAGAGCGTGTGGGTTTTTTACACAGGTATACACAAGCCATGGTGGTTTGCTGCATCCATCACCCCGTCATCTACGTCTGGTATTTTTCCCAATGCTATACCTTCCCTAGCCCCCTACTCCCCAACAGGCCCCTGTGTGTGATGTTCCCTCCCTGTGCTCACGTGTTCTCATTGTTCAACACTCATTTTATGAGTAATAACATGAAGCGTTTGCTTCTCTGTTGTTGTATCAGTTTGATGAGAATGATGGTTTCCAGTTTCATCCATGTCCCTGCAAAGGGCATGAACTCATCTTTTTTGTGGCTGCATAGTATTCCACGGTGTATATGTGCCACATTTTCTTTATCCATTCTATCTTTGATGGGCATTTGGGTTGATTCCAAGTCTTTGCCATTGTAAACTGTGCCACAGTTAACATATGTGTGCATGTGTCTTTATAATAGATTGATTTATAATCCTTCGGGTATATACCCAGAAATGGGATTGCTGAGTCAAATGGTATTTCTATTTGTATATCCTTGAGGAATCACCACAGTGTCTCCACAATGGTTGAATTAATTTACACTCCCACCAACAGTGTAAAAGGATTCCTATTTCTCCACATCCTCTCCAGCATTGGTTTTCTCCTGATTTTTTTACTGATCGCCATTCTAACTGGCATGAGGTGGTATCTCAATGCGGTTTTGATTTGTATTTCTCTAATGATCAGTGATGATTAGCATTTTTTCATATGCTTGTTGGCTGCATAAACGTGTTCCTTTGAAAAGTGCCTGTTCATATACCTTGCCCACTTTTTGATGGCATTGTTTTTTTTCTTGTAAATTTGTTTAAGTTCTCTGTAGATTCTAAATATTAGCCCTTTGTCTGATGAGTAGATTGCAAAAATTGTTTCCCATTCTGTTGGTTGCTGGTTCACTCAACTGATAGTTTCTTTTGCTGTGCAGAAGCTCTTAAGTTTAATTAGATACCACTTGTATATTCTGGCTTATGTTGCCATTGCTTTTGGTGTTTTAGTCGTGAAGTCCTTGCCCATGCCAATGTCCTGGATGGCATTACCTAGGTTTTCTTCTAGAGATTTTATGGTGTTAGATCTCATATTTAAATATTTAATCCATCTAGATTCATCCCTTAGGAATATCCATGATTCATTGGCTCAGTTGTTTTACATTATCCAATACTTCCTAATAAATTTGTTCCTTTTTTTATCTTTATGTGACTGAGTTAATTGGAAATATCTGTCTCTTACATTTTACGTTCTTTCTTCTTTTTAGTATAGTCCACTGGTAAAGCTTTAAATTGTATTTTGTAATTAATTCAATGAAGTCTTTATTATCTGAAGATCATTTTTAAAAAATCAAAGTCTTACGTAAATCTTGTGTTTTTCTGATTTGTTTGTGTTGGTTCTCAACCTTCTTTTGAATTTAATTGAGCTTCTTAAAATCAACATTTTGAATTGTTTATCTGACATTTCAAATATATCAGGTGATTTAGATTCTGTTGCTAGAGAGTTAAGATTACACCTGGGGTCTTGTAACTGTTTTTTCATACTGCGATCATTGCTTATCTGTTTGATTTTCATTGGCTAAACTATCTTTTCTTATTTTATGAATTCATTTTGATTTTAATGAAAAGTATATTCCCTTTAGAATGTAAATATAATTTATATTGTGTGGGTCTTTTGAGTTGGTACTTAGCCTACTCAATGGCAAAGACTCACAGAGTTTCTTGTCTATAGATAGCCATTACTTAGTGGCTTTCTGAAATGATGGGTGTAGTGACAATGTACTGGGCCTGTGAGCAGGCTCACTGCCTCCTACACACCCTAGATAGTTGAGGCCTCAGGAACCATTTCTAATTTGGAATGCATTCGTTTCAGCAGATTTTGTATTGGATTGTAAGTACCCCCTTCACTTTAGTAGGTAGTCCTTACAGATTTGAGCTGACTGTGGCAGAGGTAGATATGTATATGCCTGATATCTGTGCACAGGGAGAAGCTCTTCGCTGCCTCGGGGATTGGCTGTTCTATGAAATTCACAGCGACCTAAATTCTCTGCTCAGCCCCTGAGATGGAGAAAAAGCAAAGCTGAACATAGACGAACCACTGAGCCTGGCAAGCAAAAGCACCAGCCTTAATGGGAATGATCAGGTGAGACGCATTTATTCTGCATGATTTCTTTTGATAGTAATAACTTTAGCGTGGTGTTGTGTTTTTAAATTTCGGTTGTGGTAGTAGCTAGTATACTGGGTGTGTGAGTTGTCCCGTGGACCTTGTGGAGCTGGAATCACAGAAGGGTTGAGAAGCCAGTATCATTTTCACGTGCTGTGCACTGGTGGCTACTTTGTATTAGGTCGTGCAGTTTCAACATCAGGCCAGTAGGTGGTGCTTGCAGGTAAGAGCCGCCTGCGGTGGCAGCCGAAGGGTTTATGCTTTACCAGCGGGTCAGGTAGGAAATTCGTCATGTTCTGGATCTCAGAGAAAAGACTCTCAGTTATTCTCATTCTATATGGTACTCCCTGAAAGTCTTTCTGATGTAACTTTTATTACGTTAAGAGGTGTTCTTTCTATACCCATTTTTTAAAGATTTTTTTTCATGAAAGGATGTTGAATTTCATCAAATGCTTTTTCAGCATCAATTGAAAAATATTATATGTGGAGTAAAGATGTAAATAAATGTAAAACTTAAACTGTAAAAAACTTTGCATAATAACCTAGGAAATACAATTTGGGACACAAGAACTGGCAAATACTATGATGCAAATGCTAGAAGCAATTTAACCAAAATCAAAATTAACAAATGAATGTAAATAAACTGAAGAGCTCCTGCATCGCAAAAGATACTATCAGCAGAGTAAAAGGCAACCTAGGGAATGGGAATAAAATATTTGAAACTTGTACATCGGACAAAGGTCTAATATTTAAAACATGGAACTTAAACAAACATACAAGAAAAAAAAGTGGCCGAAGGACATAAAAAGACACTTTAAAAAAAGATCTACATGTGGCCAATAAGAAGTAAAATGCTGAATATCACTCTCATTAGAGAAATACATATCAAAACCACAGTGAGGTACCGTCTCACATCAGTCAGAATGGCTGATCTTAAAAAATAAAATCACAGATGCTGCTAAGTTTGCAGGAAGAGAGAAAACATTTATACGCTTCTGGTGAGAATATAAATTAGTTCAACCATTGTGGAAAGTCCCTCAAATAACTAAAGTGTGGTGGTCCCTCAAATAACTAAAACAGAAGTTTAATTTGACCCAATAATTCCACAACTAGACGCATACCTGAAGGAATATAAACATGTAGGTTAATCGCAACACTATTCACATAGCATAGACATGGAATTAGCTAATTGCTCATCACTGGCGGAACAGATAGAGAAAAACGTGGTGCATATAACCGTGGACTGCTATGCAGCTAAGGAAGGATTAAATTATGTCCCTTGAAAACCCATGATGGAACTGGAGTTCATTACTCTTAGCACACTAATGCAGGAACAGAGAAAAAAAGCATACTATATGTTCTCACTTATTTGTGAAAGATAAGTAATGAGAAATATTCTCTCAGGCCCTGAGTCTTCCTTATTCAAAAAATCATTCTAAATTAACTGTTCAACAAGTTGTCAGTATGCCTTTAAACCTCCTACTTTATATGGAACACTTCTATCACTGAATAAAGCAATGAGAACTGTATTTTAAAGTGAGGTTATAGGATAATAAATATCTTAATAGTAAGAATATGAAGGAAATGGATGGGTTTATTAATTCAATAGGTACATAACTGTGGGAGACACTATATTCCAATGGATAAGATATTCGGATTTCAGAGCCAGGTGATGTTTCTTACACAATTTGTGTGACTTGGAAGTGGTGGATTCCAGAGTGTGGAAAGTGCACAGACCAAGAGGATCAGAAATCAATATGTAAAGACGATCTATGGGCATGAATGGAAAGTATGTAAATACTTCAAATAATTCTATTTAATGGAGTTTGAAATAAAACCCAAACTTATTCAAAACACAACTTACTTGGTAATCATTTGGGAACCTATGGGTTTATCAAGAAGTTCAATTTCCTTTTTATATTTCAATCCCTGATTCCTACTGTCAATGGGAGGGAAAATTCAGAACTCATCACACATTACAGGGCAAATCTGTAAACCAGAGTACTTTTATTGAAGGGCCCGGGAGCTCAGGACTCTCAGGCAGGTGCTGGGGACCCTGTCGTGGAAGAGCCCAGCCAATCTCAGAACTGTCCATGGGCCCTGCTGGGCACTCATGTGAATAACCATTGGCCACTTTTCAGTGTTACCAGTGAGTTCTGACTGTTCCTAATGGGACCAGGATGGAGTCACGTTTCCTGCTCAGTGTCAGAGACAGTAATGATCCCAGATGCAATCCAGGTAATCTCTATGCCAATAAAATGTGGGTTCACAGTGAGGAGCACATCCTGGGGTGGGACTTGCTCTTCAGTGGGAAGAGTGCTGTCCACAGAAAGCTTAGACATGGGGCAGGGGATGCATTTTCTCAGGCACGATTAGAGCTTGGTCTCTCAGCATCCCACTCTTGTATGGCTGATGTGGCATCTGTGTTTTCCTTCTCATCCTAGATCAGGCTTTAAGCTGTGAAATACCGTGCCTCATGAATATGCAAACAACCTGAGGTCTTCTGAGACAAATATAGATGGGTTGGTTGCCTGCAAGCCTCACCCAAAAACCACATCCCTCCTCTAAAGAAGCCCCAGTGGACATAGCTCATCACCATGGACTGGACCTGGAGGATCCTCCTCTTGGTGGCAGCAGCTACAGGTAAGGGACTTCTTAGTCCCAAAGCTAAGGATGGGATTCTGGTTCAGTCAAAGAGGATTTTATTCATGCCTGTGTCCTCCCCACAGGTGCCCACTCCCAGGTGCAGCTGGTGCAGTCTGGGGCGGAGGTGAAGAAGCCTGGGGCCTCCGTGAAGGTCTCCTGCAAGGCTTCTGGATACACCTTCACCAGCTATGGTATGCAGTGGGTGCGACAGGCCCCTGAACAAGGGCTCGAGTGGATGGGATGGATCAACACCAACACTGGTGGCACAAGCTACGCACAGAAGTTCCAGGGCAGAGTCACCATGACCAGGGACGCATCCACGAGCACAGCCTACATGGAGCTGAGCAGCCTGAGACCTGAGGACACGGCCGTGTATTACTGTGCGAGAGACACAGTGTGAAAACCACATCCTGAGAGTGTCAGAAACCCCAGGGAGGGGGCAGCTGTGCTGAGCTGAGGAGACGACAAGGGTTACCAGGTTTAAGGCTGTTTACAAACAGGGTTATATATTTGAGAGAAAATCACGTGGAAACAAGTGCACACTCTCATTTTGAGAGAAATATTCCATCCAAGAGTCCTCATATAAACCAGATTCAGAGTGGGAAAGGCCACACTCAGTACAGTTGATGCAGACATTCCGTGAAGGTGATACTTTGAACGTGTTTTCAGATTAGATGAATCATTTATCTGCAGCAAGTTTATTTGATCATGTGGTAAGACTAAGTGTGATTCTTAAAAAGCGGCTAAAATTTCTTTCAAATGTTTCTGTCACTCCTTATCATAAAATTTATTTTAGAGCAGTTGTAGGATTATAATGAAATTGCACAAAAGGTTTGAGGACTCCCATGAATCCCTGCCCTACACGGGTAGAGCCTTCTCCACTATGACCATCCTACCCGAGTCACAAATAACTTACAATGGATGGATCTGCGAGGACACTCGGCTCTTTCTCTGGAGATCTCCTAATATAACAAGTCTAGGTCACGTCGGAGCAGCACAGCTGTTTACACTGGCGTTCTAGCTAAAACAATTTCAACTTTTTCCTCCAAAATCCACAAAATATACATCGATTTAGAGCTTATCTTACTTCTGGCTTACAATGCCCCTTCCCAGAGAGTAGGATTTTTAAGCTTCTAGAGGCAGGTTCATGTCTCTAAAAGACCAGCAAATTCTGGTGAGTCCCATAATGGACATCCTTGAATGAGATTCGGAGACCCTGGCAATGAGAGACTCCATGTGTAATGCCCTAGAGGTGGGTCAGACACGCTGGACGCTCTCGGGTGGTGGTTCTGAACGAGGAAGTTCATGCAGCAGGTGCAAACACATGCATGGGACCCAGCAGGAACAGAAGCTTCCCTTTACACAGTGGGCGAGCACCTGGAAGGAGCCCTCACAGGGGTGGGCACTGGTCAACCTTGCTGACTGCGCATTAGCCAGAGGCACGATCACACTTGGTCTTACAGGGAAAGAGCGGCACTGAGGTCATAGGTTATGAAAATGTTTATCATCCTCCAGCTGAGCAAGTCTATCTGCTTGCTTGTGGGTGTCACCCCCATGGCAGGTGCACTCTGGGAGATGACAGGACGCACACAAACTCCTCCCACTAACTACCCAGCACCACACACTCAGAACGAGCCTGTGCTCCAGAAAGGGATACTTGGCTGCAGAAAGAAACAGAGCTTAAGGGTTTTCTCACCTGGTGAACATACTGCCCAAAACCACACTCTGCAGGAAGATTAGCTCAGAGATGTTCACCAAGTGACTGCAGGGTGATGGTGGGTGAGGGATGTGACAGCCTCAGGGCTGCACGTGAGGAGGGCTCCCTTCCCATGCAGGCTTTTTCTCCAGGACCTGCACCAGGAGCTCAAGAAGGATCAGGGAGAATTCTGAGAACATCTTTGTAAGGCCGGTTGCCTCGCCGGGAGGTTGGACACACCCACCTCTGCACCCAGCACCAGGCTCTGCACTTGGCACCTAGCTCTGCCGCATGCTCCCCTGGAAGGCTCCAGCTGATGCAAGGCTCCTGGCCGGCTCTCCCACCAGAAAACCCGCCCAACAACCCAACAACCAAGAGCGGCCTGCCCCGTCTCAATCCCGCTCCCCTGGAGTTCATCAGAGCACCCAGCTGTTGCTCGTTCCTTCTAGCCATAAAAACCCTACGCCCCAGGAAATGGGCGTGACTTCCCTGGCCCCTTTCCCCGGGACCGTGGAACCTCGCCTGGGAGCTGAATAAATTGGATTTTCATTTTCCTATACTGGCCTCAGTTTCCTCATTCTAAACTCGGCAATAAACCTTACAATCTTACTGTGGTGCCGCCTAGAGAGGAAGAATAAACTGTGAAAACTACGACTCTGAGTACAGTTTCCACATTTGTTCATGAAAACTGTCTTTCTGAAAGTTTGAAAAGGTCTTGAAATACCCCCGATTAGCTGAGGACATTTAAACCCTCCTTCCACAGGGAGTCCCAGCAAGCTGGATGTGCCCTCCAATGGATGATCTTCCCCAGCCCCTTCCTCTTCCCAGCTCATCCCTGGCTCTCTGTGTAAAAGTTCTCTTCAGTGGAATGCAGTTGATGAAGTGAGGCCTTCAGTTTTCTCATCTTCTGTGTGGCCATGTTATTTTCCTCATCTGAGGCTCAAAAACTCACCTGCATGCAGCACACGACAGCCTAAATCTCTTGTGGACAAATCAGTAACAAAGACAGCCACCGGGGTGGAGCATCCCGTGGGGTTCAACCACCGGGGGTCAACGTCCTCTTCACAATCCTGGGTCAGAGCGTCATCAGCAACTTCCCAGGAGAATCAGCTTAGAAAGCACTTGTTCCATTTTCCGTGAAGATATAACCCATCTATTTTTTTTTTTTTTTTGAAGAAATAGAAAGAGCTGAACGCTGAATACATTGAAGGTCTGCTGGCGTTTCCAGTTTGTGACTTTATCACTGTCTAATTTCTGTTCTGTGCAGGTCACTCTACAGACTTTTCTCACTGGTGTGACCAGCCTTCTGTATGTCCAATGGAATTGATCTTCCAATATAAAAGTCAGCCCCAGCCCCTCACAACTTCAGTGCTTACTAACTATTCTAAACTTACACAATGTGTTTCCTTCTTAGTTTCATTTTCTGGTGTCTGTTCTTGGCGTCTTCACCATGCCCATTTTATGTTTCATTTTACAGGTAATTGATAGTTAATTTTAAAATTTACAATTGCTTACATTAGTGAAATAAACAGCCAATACCTTAGAATAAAAAGTGTATGCAAAAGTAAATGCAGTAATATTTACTGTAAGAAAGGCAGCAGATGAAAGTCAGGGAAATCTATTCTGCTGCGTAGGAGGGTATGCAATCCTCACAGCATGATGATCTTCTGCAGTTTAATTGATCCTGCTACACAAGTGATAGAATCCTCCCTCTTTATATGAGAGCTTTCCCTAACACGTACAACAAAGACTGAGCACAGACACCGAGATGTTGAGCAAAATACACTGTCACTCCCAGTACAGTGATTTGAGTGGGCTAGGGATGGTCGTCTGCTGCTTTCAGAAGGTGACTGCAGCTAACAGACCGCTACTCACTGGTCCCTTCACATTTATTCAGTATATATTTAATAACTGAGGTTCTAAGTCAACACGCTTGTCGATAAATAACATGATTAAAAGAGTTGTTTTACGAATGATAAAAGGTCTTAGTTCTGGGGTCCAGAAGAAACACCATTAATGGGTACTTCGTGTTTGACTGACCTGTGAGAGGGTCACCCAGCACAAAGTTTACATGAGTAAATGAGGTGACCCAGCACAAAGTTTACATGAGTCAACAAATTCGAGCAGGGACAAAGGAACGTGGTGTAAACAGAATTAACTGGGGGAGGTTTTATTATTCCTAATCTGCACTCTATGACCTAAAGCTCTAACATAAGAACTGGCTCCTTCAGCCCGTACCATAAGTTAATAAAAACCTTTCAGCCTTCTAAAAGATATCTTATATCCTTTCCCTAGGATGTCTCTTAGTATTTTGCCAGCCACCCCAAGTGAGTCCCAACAGATACCTCCAAGCAGACTGACACAGCACCTCTCATCAAGTGCCTGAGCTGATAGTGGCAGATATCACATTTGTCTAAGAAATTACATCCTGTAAGGATACCCACCAGTCATATGGAGACAATTTGAAAAGTTTAGTCAAGGTTCAAACCTGATAGGTAGTAATTTATATTTACAAGAATTAAATCTTACCTTCATATGTATGTTTTTCTTAATCATAGAGAAGCTACTCGTGCGAATTTCCAAGTTACTGAATATCTTATTCCCTAGAATGAGACACGGCATAATGTGCTCTGGCAGGCGGGAATGTAGCTATAGTTATGAGAGGAGATTTGAACACGGAAACAGGAGTATGAGATCCAGCAGTTCTTGCTCCTTCACATTTGCTTAGAAACAAAGACCCCAGGAGAACAATGGAAGGGTTAAGTCTCCATAATCTAATATGAGACATTCACCAGGTGTTATATTCCACTGTTTATAGTAGGAAATTTAATCTCTAATGAAGGTTTATTGTGTGGATAAAACTATTCTCCAGGATATTTAAATAACTCAAAACAGAAAGCACCACAGGGCCTGGTGGCCAGGAGCTGCAACACCTGGGTCTGGAAACCAGTGGACAGAAATATCAGTTTCTCTTACCACATGTATGATGAAAATTTCAAGGATGGTTCTTTCTTTCTCCCTAATTACAGGCTGCCATGGACGGGAGGTCCCGGTACACAAGGAGAAATGTGTGTGGAGTGGGTGCAGAATTAGTCTCATGAAATAATTTTGCTGCTGTGGTCCTCACACAGTTGTAGCAGCTGACCCAGAAAGTGCTGTGAGAGCTGCAGTGTCCATTGATTTTTACTATATCGGGGCGACATTCACAGCCACTGAGGGAAAGACAGAGAAGCAAGGTAGTCTTGCCCTAGGTAGTCTATGGGTTTGTCTTCTTTCCTCCAAAATGAGGTAAAACAATCTCATCAACTAAAACGCAGATGATGATCAAGTGATCAAGGCCAACAGCCACTCAGTGTTTCAGGGCGTTTTCACCCAAAGTCACACAGCATGAGAGAACCTGAACTCTGGAGGACGGGGCGTCTCTGAGGAGAATCTAGAAGGTGGAAGGGAGGAAACGGTGAATAATGTCTAGGGAAATTTCAGGGCTCCCTGCTCGGTGTGGGGAGGAAATCCTGAGCCTCTCCCACAGGATGCTCTGGTAAAATTTTTGGCTGACTTATTCTATTCTTCGACACCAATACGGTTCTTTAGTCTTTTTTTAATTTTTTTATTTCTATTAAAATTTTCACATTGTTCTTGCATGCTGCCACTAACTTATTTTTTTCTTTCTTTTTTATATAACTTAAGTTCTGGGGTACATGTGCAGAATATGCAAGTTTTTATGTAGGTATACATATGCCCTGGTGCTTTGCTGCATCCATCGCCCTGTCAACTAATTAGGTATTTCTCCTAATGCTATCCCACCCCAGTTCCCCTATCCCCTGCTATCCCTCCCCTAGCCCCCCATTCCCTGAGAGGCCCTGATGTGTGATGTTTTCCTCCCTGTGTTAATGTGTTCTCATTGTTCAACACCCACTTGCGAGTGAGAACATGCGGTGCT